TTTAACTGAGCAATTGGGACGGACTCAATGAAGTCGAGTAGCACGTCTAGATTGCGTTTGAAGTTGGCAATCCCCTCCATATTGAGCTTCTTGACAGTTGATCCACTCAAAATCTGCTCCAGCGACTTGGCCAGATAGCTGCACGACGCAAAGTGCACAGCTTCTTGGACTGCTGGGGGCAGTTGACCCAGTTGTGCAAATGTTACTTTGAGATAGTTGATGAGATCCCACATGGAAGGGTCTGGTTGTGTCAGAACAGTGCTTGGAGTCCAGTTGAGATAGTAGAAACTCGAGAGCAGCTCGTCAATCTTCTTCAACTGGAATGATACAACACATTAGCCTAGCATTGAATATACTCAGTAGATAGAAGTATACGTACCATCAGTTCGCAGACCATATCTTGCGCTCTCGTGGTTGTGCTATCGAATTTCTTCTTAGCTGCAGCCTTACTCAACAGCAGTCGACTGGAGCAAGGCTTCACCAGTTGAGTGTTCGCTCCACGAAGCGTGTTGCTGACACTGTAGCCATACGTCCGTGCTTCCCAGGCTTCCGTCTGCACCTTGACGTGTTCTTCAAAGCGATCACAGGCGCAAGCCAAGAACGACGCGTTCGTGCCCATCATAACAGCCTACAACACAAAAGAGATTAAATTTTTGGCATATTGTAGCCAAATCTGTCACTACTTTACCGTCGAAACTTGGAGATCTGTGTGTTGATCGATCACTTGGTTTAACGTGTCGTTCAGAAACGTCAGCGCCTCGATCGTGTCATCTCGCACCCACTCGCCCCAGTCGTCGATGTTCAAATAACTAGACCACAACAAAAAAATGTAAATAATTATGGTAAACCCAGTTGTTTTTAAGCAACACTCTACATTCATACCGCTCATAGTCGAACATCATCTGGACCAGCGCTTCAATACTCGTGCAGCTCTTGACGACAACCTAGCAGCCAGAAGATATACACGTCAGTAATTACCACGAATTAAGCACGAATAATCACACGTACGCTTGTAAACGGCAGCACAACTGGATCTGCTGTAAGGTCGATATTTTTCAACAAGCGTCCTTCTTCCTTCTCCAGTCCACAGCATCGCAAAGTCTAAAAGCACAGCATATAATAACTCCTTAGAATACCACAAAAAAAACCAGTTATTCGGAACATACCGCTCGAAGCTGTTCAGAAGAGACTTGGACGCGCGCGAATGTATCGCTGAACATAAATTCTTGAAGTTTTCTGCAGTCAAAGCGCCATGCACCTGTAAATATTCCTAGATAAATCGCCATCCTTGTAGTGTTCACGTACTTCTTCGTATCTGCCATAATTGCGCTTCGGAAATGCGCCCCCAAACGCCGAAAAGTATCAAACATCAGCGTCGAGTTGTACTCGTGCACTTCATCGCTCAGCGTTCGTGCACACATGATCGCTCTAAGCTTGATGTCGAGAATGGTAGTCGGCACGTTGATGCTCAAGACGGAGGTCGACACAATTCCACACAAACTCTGCATCACGAGATGGAAAATCCCATTGATTTCCTTCTTGGACAACAAGGCCGCATCGGAATATCGCCACAACAAGTGCTCAAGACAAAAAGACCCTGTCAACTTCTTGAACAGCTCTTCGTGCTGAGCTACAAACTTCTCCGGTGTGATCGCAGTAACTGCACCTCTCATAAACGACGTCAGCTGCAGTTGAGGCTGTAAAAACACAAAAAATGTTAGTAAGCCGTAATTGTCGCCTATAAAAGATATTTTTGCCTCTTTACCAAGCGGTTGGCATTGTAGAACGCAGCCAGTTCAGGCACTTGACTCATGACGCGGAAGACGTGCAGGATTCTCAGCATCGGCGACAATTGTGCTAGAGCTGTTTTCATGTAGTTTGAGTGAATATTACTGCGTTCGCGTAAAGTATCAGCGTCGGAATTGAAGACTCGGATCGACGGAAGCTTGAACGAATCTTCGCTCACTAGAGATCTCCCCGAGTTGGCTGGACTCAGCGAGGCTCGAGGACTGGTGGGAACGTTGTCATTGCTACTTGATCTCCCAAGCACAGGAGCATGACCGCTCTTCTCTAAAACATCTTGTTCGTAATATTGCTCGCTGATTTGGTTCTCCAGTCGATGAATAGCTGCTTCACCAATAGACTAGAAGAAAAAGAAATTTAGTCCATATTTCATATCAAAGTTGACTTTTTTCATACCAGAGACGCCGCTCGAACACCTTCCAGCCACATTGAAGCATTTCGTTTGGCTTCGTCCTTGATGGTTCGCATAGCGACGTGCATCCAGTCGCTCATGCGTTGTGGGAATAGTCGACCCTAAAAAATTTGGGAATTTAA